GGAAGCCTGAATGCTTATTCATTAAGTGGGAACTTTGTTACTGGTTTGCACAAAAAAAAAAAAAAAATCAATATAGTGCTCAAGAATTGGCATCGGGAGGAAAGTTATTCCTTCCGTCAAGCTTTACTTCAAGCCTTTCACTTTGACTCTGTCCTTACACTGACTGATTTTCTCCAGTGCTTGATAACAAAATCATATCAGTTACCTGTAAGGCTACATGTTATTGAGCACCCTCTACCCAGAACGCCATCACCAGTGGTCTTTCTTCTGCCACCGATTGCAGCTTTTTCTCCTAAATACTTCGACCTGACATTTTGTAGTGAAAAATAACCAACCAGTGTGTATTCTCATGTTCTGCTTTGTTTCAAATTTTTAAAACTCACTCTTCCTATAATTACCATGCTTAAATAGCCAATTCATAGTTGCTAGGCAAGCATCTTGTCAGAAATTATTCACACTCTTGTTGGTTTTCTCCTGGCTTGAAAGAGGGTAAGTTTGCTTGTGAAGTCAGGGAGAGAGGCTGCTGTTCCACTGAAGTGAGTGGAAGGCCTGCTGGGACTTCACAAGGCTGTTTTCGCTTTGCTGCTTCTGAAAAAATACACTTGCTTTTCTCCATTGCTCAATATTGTTGGATCTTGGTTAAATAAACAGGAATTAAGTTTGTATTAATTACTCTTAAAGTGATTTTTTTTTTCCTTAATGCTTTTTGGAGCTTAAACATCTTTTTATTAAAATATGATACAACACAATGTACTGTCAAATACAGACCTGTTCACATTAGCTGTATAACGTGAATAAGGTGACTAATGTATGAAGTGATGGTGATGAAATTTATAATATCCTATATATAATGCATTACCCCTATAAAAATTAAATTCTGTCTAGTTTTGGGAAGGTGGACCTCAAATTTTATTTTTAAAAAAGAAAAGTTCTCTGCCATATACTGGAAATTCAGTGGTAAACCATAACACACATAATTCAAAGACAGTCATTGTAAGAACTAAAGTCATTAAAAAGCATTGAGGTGCTTATTTTGTTGTTAGATCTTATTGGATTTTCAGCGTGGGAGATTTTTATAGTAATAGTATAACTGTTTTCTGAAGATTATCAGAAAGCTGCAGGTGGGCTGTGGGCATTTGATCCTTTTGGCAGAAGATGCAAGAGGCAGCCGGAGGGTGGTGTTCTTACCAAAGAGTAGGTTACATCCTGACAACAGAGGAGGAGGAGCAACTTCTCATTTTTCAGAGGTGCAAAGAAAGTCTTTGATGTTTATGGCATTTGGAACGAGTTTTAAACTAAGTTGGATTCAAAGAATATGGATTATCTACCCAAGAAGTCAGTCTGAAATAACTAGATGGGGGGAGGGGGGGGAAGTACTGATGTAGTTATACTAGTGCAGTTTCTTGTATTGATAAGCCCTAACAGTCCTCGTTTCTCGAGCATTGCAAGTTCTGATGAAACTTGGAAAAGAGATAGTACTCTTGATTGAGCGTTGTTTTTCTTTGATAAGGCTGTTCCCCCTTCACTGAGAGCAATCCATGTTAAAAACAGGAACTTGATCTGTTTTCTTCAGAAACATCTGAAAATAATGCAAGTCCTTGGAAAGATTAAAACGAGTCTTTTATAGACAAGTGAATGCAACAGCATTGAAAATACATTCTCACTTATACAGCCAACTTAAAAAGTTGTAAAAGTTTTAAAGGTCTTATTGATGACACGTTTTTTTAGCTGTGGCTCAGCTTCTTAATACATAGGTGAAATCTATTTTGTGAAAGACTACGGTGGGTTTTTTTTCCTTTATCGTCATGACCGTAGACTTTTTTTATCCTAAAAACGTCATCCTAGGATGCCTTAAAGAATTAGAGAAGCAAGATGATGTCAGAAATGTTAGTGGCTGGGGAAGGGGATGTCAAAAAAAAAAAAAAAGTTGCTTTGGCAACTTAAGCATGCGAAGATAGGGAGATAAGTAACAATTAATACTAACTTCTCAAGAACAGAAGGGTCTGATATATCTTTTTTTCCCTGGAAAAGAAGTTGTACAGTTAAGGAAACAGTAGTAGGTTTCATAGATATGAACCTTAGCCGGGCTTTACGAGCTTCATAATCTGTCATTGCACGCAGGAGACATGAACTAATTTTCCATCTCTTATCAGAAAAGCCAGGCTGGATTATTGTGTCCGGTTTTGTGGCTTGCCTTTAGATAATGATGTGGACAAACTGGATTGAGTTTAAAGGAGAGCGGACAAAGAACGATAGTCTGTAAATTGTGATAATGGGGAATGACTGACAAATTGGCATTGTTAGGCAAATAAGGCTGGGAAGGAGGGGGAACATGTGTGTAAAAGGGTGTTGAAAAGGAATGGGAGAACGCAGTTTTAGCAGAATTAGAAATATAGACCTTAAATGTTGGAAAAACGTTTGGTTTGAGCGATAGCAAAATTTTCTAAAGGCAGAGATACATACTGGAATGGGCTGTGTAGGACAGGGGTGTAAATATACTTCGCTGGAGATACTTAAAATCAGGCTGGACAAAAGTATATTATGGATGGCAGAGGTAAAGCCTTGAAGGAAGTAGAGGGACTGGGTAACTTCCGGTAATCATTTACAGCTCTTGTGATGCTTGGAGTTAAACATGCAAGTTTTTGAAATGAATGGTACTATAACAAAATGTATATAATTTCACGGTTCTGTGCCACAATCTGGTTCATGGGACACACTTCCTGTAGTTTTAGGTTATAATAGTTTTGCATAGAGAAACTGATACAAATCAGTCCATCGGGAGACATCATTTATGAGTAAAACCAATGTTGTCAGTAGATGGCACTGTTTTTCTTCCAGTACATTCATGTTCCATTTGGTGAGGGGGGGAGTTTTTATAAATTTCTTTTCTTCTATGCCACCTGCTTAGCTGTCATGCTTTAAATAGATTGCATTCAGGAGTGTCAGAGGCTCACTGCTGTATTTGGTAATTGTTCTTAATTTCTTTAAAAGCCTTTATTTCCACATTATTCTTGACTGGCACGGCGTGTACATTTTTACATGCATTTGAGAATGCACATACATACCCATGTATATTTGCCAGGGAGAAGCTACGTTAAGGTGGATTTGATGAGAGTACATATGGATGATAATAAGACTGTTGCAGTTATTCCAGGAGCAATCATTATAAACTCAAGGAACTCATAGCTTTTGTGTGTGTGTGTAAACTATAAAAGTAGATAGTAAATATACCCAGATGGCTTAAACCACAGCCCTGTGATGATATCAGGTGGTAACATTAAATTGTAATTATAGCGTGTTAACTTTTAGAATTTTTTATTGATTAGAAATGAATTTTGAAGACATTCAATAGTTTCCACTTCTTATTTTTGCAACGGTGAAATGGATAGCCAGGTGGTCTGCAGGAGCCCATGAAGTGAGCCACAGTGGGCTCTGTGTGCTGAGAATGAAGATGATGTTGACAGTATTTCCATATATAATGGGAAGGTTTCTGAGCCTGGGAGGGTGATTATCTATACTATTAAATTATTAGGATGATTCCTGTCATGCTTTTGATCTATATTCACTACAGTTTTACCAGTTAGCACAGGCCAAGGACTGTTCTGAAAAGAAAGCTGAAATGCAGCCACCCCATTTTGGATGCTGGTATGAACACGGCCAGATTTACACTATTTGATCTCTGTGCCAACAAACAGACCTTGCTGCTGTTTGGGTCGCTGGGACAGCTACAGCTGGTGAGTTTCGGGTGAAACCGAAGGACAGAAGGTGTTGTCTTGGCTTAATTCGCTGCTGTTCTTCTCCAATGCCTGCGTTATGCCTACTGTGTGGGACCTGGGATGTAAGTAACTTCAATAAATCCCAGCAGGTAGGGTTCTGAGAGATGGAAGCGTGCCAGGGTTTTGGGGTATAAATCTTTCTGCCCACTCCTGTTCATACACAAACAGGTGAGGAGAGGTGTAGAGCAACACGAGCGAACAATCTGTGACTTCAGACTGAGAGAAGTGAGAGGTAGTGGCTTCTTGGAAGGAGATGAGTTCTCTGAGTCGGCCTCTGATTTAAGCCTCTGATGAGCTTAAATTTACAGAGACAAATGGAAGGGTGTGGGAAGTATTTTAGAAAGTCTTTGCATCGAATCGACTGGATGGATTTTTCTGTGGTCTTCAGGTGCTACTGCTTAGATTGATATATTGAGATGAACCATTCATCTTGATGCAGTGTGCCACATTTCTAAAATAATTAACTTGAATATTTATTTTTAATTCATGATTTATTGGAATAACTGGTAAATAATCAAATAGTAGTTCTCTGCTAATTAAAGATGAATGGTTCAAATGTTGGGTGGGAATATGTAATGTTTGGCATGAGTGGACCTTTGGTTTGATATTCCAGTCTTGGCTTTATCCGACGGTGGAGTTCTGGTGATTCCTTGAGGATGTGGATATGGACAGGTAGACAATTCTCTTCAGGAAGTGGAGAAATGTATTAATGGTTGATGGTCTAGTAGGGACTAAGGTCATAAACTTTAGCCGTACTGTAGGTAGAGCTGGAAAGAATTTTTGGTGTAATCCCTCTACGCCTACTTTCTACATTTGTCGGGCAGATGGGCTACTTCAGAATGGTTTTTAAAGGACTAGTGAGGTGCAGGCTTACTTTTTGAGTACTTTTGGAAGACTGGCTTGAGGCAAATCTTTTCGTCAAATATGGAAAAGTATTAAATGTTGTAAACTCACCTTCTTGTATATGGTAGATTGGCTTGTTTGACAAAAAGGAGGTCTGCTGTTTACATACCAAAATCTG